AAAAAACACTTCAACAATTCAAGCAAAACAAATCCTTGAAGAAATACGCCACCTGAAGAAGTTGTTGAGGGAATCTCCAAGAACACCCCTGAGCCGAGTGCCTTGACTACTCGTTATCCGCGTTTGGACCCCCTAGTTCGTCTCCGTCGGCGCCGCGGAGATGGTGCAATGCCGGAAATAATGTAACGTCCCGGAAGTTTTATAGTAATCGATCAGCACCGCGCGTCGGCAAGTCGAGAGCTTCACCTTACCCACAATGAACACAAGGAAGGATTCTGGAACTGATCGACGCGAGCTCCTGGTGCGGGTGGATCTCGAAATACATGGACGATCAAGGCTACTCGACTGAAAGAGCAGAGGGTTCGTCTTTCAAAGCACGATGCCGCGGTCAGTGAACCGGGAACGTTGCCACCTTTCATAATATTAAAATCACTTTTGAACAAGGATTTGCAGAGAGAGGGGTACTATCTCATAAAAGAATGCGTTAAGGCACACACAGCTGGAGTCCCATATTGCCAGATTATGGAAATAGTTGAGCCAAACGATGACAGTGACAAGTTGCGAAGAGATAGCATTGTGACTAGCAGCATAGCGCAAGCGGCAACATAGCGCAAGCGCAGCGATTGCCGATGAGTTGCGCCAAGACTGTGGATAGCTTGAATAAATTACGGAACGAAGTACGAAATAAATAAGTACGAAAGTACTACAGACGGGTACGTGTACAGTACACGTCCACACGACTACACGTAGTCTTCTTACCGACATCTTGCTTGGTACAGGTGCGTGGCTGCGTGCCCCGTTCAGGTCGTCCACTTACTCTAGACAATGCTAATGTGTCACTGAAGACAATTCTTGTACGAGGAGGCAAATACTTCTTTCGCCTCTAATGCAGTTGATGCAAGGAAAAAAACGTTCGACTGTGCTCGCCTTGCTGTTATTGGTCGGAATTCTCTTCATCAAGTTTACGCATTTCGAGGCGGGGTCTTATGCACTTGACGAACGTCACCTGCCACAACAAGAAGCGCTGTGCGAGTCTCGAGGATGCCCTTCTGTCTTGGCCTGTATCACTGGCAGTTGGAGCTTTGAAGGTGGCAGAACCAATGAACGTCTACTCTACTTGCACGTAATATTAAAAAATTATGTTGGAATTTGTGAAGCTGGATACACAGTAAAAGTGGTGTTGCTCCTTTACAGCCAGGCGGTAGATTTCGAGAAATTCATTTCAGTACACAATTACAGGTGTGAGCGAATATCTGCGTCAATTACGATCCAAGTTATGTATTTCGAATTGCGCCCGATACCCAAAGGTGCCCATGGATCTGGTCATTTCAAGAATGGAGACCTGGCAATCAGACACCGCGAGGTTTTTCTTCGGCACAGAAGCGACTTTGACGTTTTCATCGTACAGGAGGACGACGTAAGTGTAGAAGCAAGTAATTTGGATCTTTTTCGTGTGAGTCTCTGTGCTTTCAAAAGCAGTAACTACTATCCAGCCCTATACGACAGTGAGATCAAGAATGGCACTAGATATTTGAGCTGGAGATTTCGAGCTGGAAAAATCATGAAGTTTGGAAATAAAACAATATTTCAAACAAGTCACCCCGATTGGGGTGGGCGAGCTTACATCATCACTTCTTATGATCTTCGTAACCTGGTGAAAGATCCCAGTGAATGGGTTGATCCCACGCAAGTCAAAGGCGAGTTCAATCCAGCCGTTGCCTCTTCAACGTGGTTCGTGAAGATGCGTAATTTGGCTGTTTTCATCGACACGGACGAGTGGCGTGGCGGGGACATACACCATTTAAGTAATAGGTTCGTGCATTTTGATCCCGCGGACAAGTACTTTGACATGCCTACCTTGCAAGAGGTTTCTGAAGTGTTCCGCTCCTGCATTCGCGCTAGAAACGTCACTGGAGACCTCGATCCCAGGTCAAGTGTTAGATTTTTCGGCGACGAGTGCAAGGCGTGCTTGGACGGGGAAGGCACGATACTGTTCACCTCAGAGTTGCGTTCTAAACTACCAAGAAGGCTAGACGTTAAACTTGAATGCACGTAAGAAAGTTCTCTTTGATGTGCACCGGTGCCGGGCAACACCTCCTCAGGTCATAACTACACGAACACCATGAACACGATGCCCGGCAGCACAATCTCCGGGTACAACGTGTGTGTCTGTTATTTCAGTCTCCGTGAAGTGCAGCCCTGGAAGTCAGCTCGCTACCAGGCAAAAACTACACGATCACGACGCCCAAATCGAGTTCCTCCCCAGCACTTTTATTCTCGTCGTTCTCACGCACTCCCCGGTCATCCTCTCCTTCCTTCGCGAATAAGAAGTCGCACCCTCCGCCAAGTAGCCGGAATCCTACGCTATGCTTGAGCGCCACCGAGATCCGTCGCTCCCAGTCGATGAGCGCGTCGGCGGCAAGCGCGATCGGCGGCCGCGACGCCCACCGCGACTCTGCGCATCTCACGATTGCGCATCGCGCGGGAGTTTGCTTCACGCCCCCGGCCCTGTGCGTGAGCCATGATAATGACCTCCACGAATTTCAGGAAGTCGCGGCCGACGCCCCCGTACAAGTCGAAGACGAGAGGAGCGCACGTGAAACACTGCGCCGTGCACGCCTCCTTGTATTTCCTCCTCTTCAGTTGTTCGTTCGCTGCCGCGTGCAGTGGTACCGTCGTCCTACATCTCGGGTCTACCTGCCCGTTTCTCTTGATCACCTGACAGACGCGGACGACCGCGAGAATGCCCAACGTCGCGGGATAGACGCCCTTAATGATGATTTCTGGGAAGAGATCCTTTTCGTCCGCCCCGACGACGCCGTTTTCGTCTCCCCCGAGTTCCTCTCCGTCCAGCCCGGAGAGTATAATGGAGCCCGGACGTCTTCACCTCGAAGAAAGTCCTCGTCCTCAGATTACTCTCGACGACGCGGAGGACCGCGACGTGCGACGCGTCGCGTCCGCCGAGGCATGTGTCCTCGTTGTCAGCGAGGACGCGAAAGCTGAACACGTCGTCGGAGGGGAACCCGGGGCCGTTTCGAGGCCTCAACCTACCCACCCGATCGCTTCTTGCACCGCGAGCACGTGCACAGCTTCCGCTCGTTGTACACCTTCCGACCGCCACGCGTCCATCCGCGCATTCCGCAGCTTCCTCGGCGTCTCCTCTCCACTGTGCCTCACAAAAGCCAATGTGACGAAATCGAGTGGAACAGGATGACTGCACTGAAAAGGTGAGTTCTCCTGCGTTTCGAAATAAAACAAGCTTAGATATCAACACATTCCGTCTATAACTGGTTTCGGATCGGACTGAAAAAAAAGTTCCCGGCCGAACGACCGCTTGATCAAAGTCAAGAAATGGTAGTGAGCAGACCGACGCGTACAGATATACAGCAGGAAGTTGTCTAAATCCGCCTCGAACAACGTAAATCAGTACGCTGTTACAGAGTTCGAAAAGTTGCGAACACGAGTCAAGCGGGACAAGAGAGTCCCCGATCGGACGAGCCGAAAAACGTGCTCGGTCAAAGGTCGTTTGATCACCGACGAAAGTATCACGAGCGTCATCTAAAGACGAGGCGCGCAGGGATTCACCATCGAAATAAAGTACAAGAAGAAATCGTAAAGAAGGGATGTTGGCGTACCTCGTGTAGCTGTGGCTGGAGTGTTTGTCGGCGGCGGAGATCGTTCGGGATTTTATCAAGGGAACGAGAAGTACTACTACGTGTACAGCCAGACCCTGTTACTCAAAGGTATTTGAGTAGTGAATACTTGAATAGATACTGAGTAGATACTCGAAAATCGTGTATCTATTTATTCATCCGCCGGAGGCGAAATTTTTTTCCAAATATCTACGAAGGTATTTATTTACGCAAATTTTTATTATTTTGCTGAATGTATTTATTTATCTACTCGCCGTAGGCGACGAAAAATACAAACTATCCATCTATCTACTCAACGGTGTTTTTCCCCGTGAGAAAAAGAAAAAGTCACAGTCTAATATAAGTGCAAAATACTCAAGTACTTCCGTACTTCCGGAAGTACTCAAGAGTATTTTATATCTACTCAAACATGTCAAGTGCAAAATACTCAAGAGTATTTCTCAAACATGCCAAGTGCAAAATACTCAAGAGTATTTATCTACTCAAAAATGCCAAGTGCAAAATACTCAAGAGTATTTATCTACTCAAACTTCGAAATATCCGAATACTCACCAGTATCTTGTATCTACTCAAAAATACTTGTGACTAAATACTCCATACCTACTCACTTGGAATATTTCTTTGAGTAACAGGGTCTGGTGTACACGTACACGTATTAGATAGAGAACTACTGTACTCCCAAGGTAGAAAATAAAGATTTTTGAAGATTTTATCCTAGTAGTAGTAGTAGTAGTAGTAGTAGTAGTAGTAGTAGTAGTAGTAGTAGTAGTAGTAGTAGTAGTAGTAGTAGTAGTAGTAGTAGTAGTAGTAGTAGTAGTAGTAGTAGTAGTAGTAGTAGTAGTAGTGCGAAAGGAAGCGACAGATCACGCGTGTGATGTGCACGAATGACTTATGCAATCGGTGGGGGCAAGTTGGAGGTGGACGTCACGCCTTTTGAGGAGGCAACACTTAGGTTCCAAAAACCTGATTGATACAAGATCATGTATTTCCGTATCAAATTACTGTATATTAGGTTTTGATAATGAAGGACTGCACGTGCGCCCTTTAAGCCGCGAATTAAAAACGGATGGTTGCGCGAAAAGGAAGGGTAGCTCTTTTATAGCAGTTCTGCCGGACCAAGATTAACGCCAAGGAAAGGTGGCGCGTGCAAAAATGGAGGATAGAACGCGGCGAGGACGAAAACCACACATATGAAAACCACATTGCCCTACTCGTACAGTAGCCCTACTGTACACGTGTACGTGTAGTCGTGTACGTTTACAGTACTTTTGACTATTTTTATAAACATGGATACAGATTTACAAAAATAGATACTCATAGGGCTACTACGTATACACAGTACACAGCTACACACTTACAAATGCGTTGATCGAGTAGACAGATAGATACTTTCTTTACTAACAACTTATAAGTACGAAAGTATTTTCCGTCGCCTACGGCGAGTAGATAAATAAATACATTCATCAAAATAATAATAAATTTGCGTACACGGTGAGCGCGACTGATGAGCGCCCGTTGGAGGCGGCGGCCGCAGATGTCACCGTTTTCGAACGGTTCTTCGCCTCGGCCATACCAAAGTCGCAAATCCGAACGGACTTGTCCGAGACTAGAAGTACGTTCCCCGCTTTTATGTCGCCGTGAATGATGTCGACCTCACGCATGTGAAGGTACGCCATGCCGGTGGCTGTTTCTGTCGCGAGACGCGCCTTGTCACTCGCGTCCAGTGTATTGTCCGGATCGTGGAGGTACGTGTCTCTAGTGGCCCGCCCGCGCACAGCTCCTTGACGAGCCAACCTTTTTGAGTGACCGCGCCTAAGATGCGGACAACATTTGTATGATTCAACGAGCACATGAGCATCGCTTCGTTGCGCAGTAACTTCGCGGCGTACGCGGGGAGTCGGTCGTTAGCACTCTCGAACATCGCTTTGACCGCGACCTCCTCACTTATGTGCGAAGCTTTGTACACTGTGCCATAGCTTCCGGTGCCGAGGACGTCCGCTTTGTTTATCGTGATCTCGGACGGGTCAATCTCAGGGGTGAAGCCATGAAGGCGAGGGAGTTTTTGTTTCGCCATGAATGCCTCCAATTTGCTAATCCGCCCCCCGAGCCCTGGAACGATCCCGTCGGCCAGGCGTTTGAATCCCCACTTGAGAAGTATGCGGCGGAGACGTGGTTTGAAGAAAGCGGCCATCACGCTGAAAATAAGAGGGGGAAAGGCGACGACAACGCCGGCAACTATGCCGGCGATCATGCCAGTAGAAGTAGATGGCGAAGGGGACGAGTCACCGGGACACGCGAGTACAAGGTCTGTAAAGGAATAAATACAGCCACCAGATGTTTCACAACCCGTCACAATTCAAACAGTCGATGCTGAATAAGATTCCGTCCCGGAAATCGTCTGCGACGACCCAGCAGTCACACTCGCCAATTTACTTGTTGGTAGGGAAGTAAACAATTGCTGGTTGCATGCATCTCCCGTCAGAAAGAAAATGTCTGCCTCTCCGGTGGTGCTAGAAAATGACCCTTGGTATGTCCAAGAGAAACAGGTTGTGGACCAGTCGCAAACAAGACTATAAGCATAAGTATTGACAGAGAGTGCACTGGACGCTGACGATAAGCCACCAGCGTCACAACCATCAGTAACCATCGAGCGGCGTCCGACTGCTTTCGTCGAATCCTGTAAAGGTGCGTGCCTTGAAGGAAATATCTTCTTCAAGTGCAGACGCCCCGTCGACCAGGGGATCCTCAGAGT